ACTGGTGACACCCGGCCCTCTGGCAGTAATAGACCCTTGGATCCTACATTCGTCTGGAATTTCACAACCTTTAACGATTCCGACCCCTTTGACAATAGTATCGCGCTGTTCCAGACGGAACATGCGGTATTTTCCCCATATGATGGCACTAAACATTCGATCAGACATACACAGTCGTGTCAGGTGTATTATCCTTTTGATTGGTGAGGCCGTTCTTGTCTTGATAGATGTGGGACTGATATCACTAAACAGGTACCTCGCTGCAATAGTTGGCTGGGCCAAAGACGCAAGTAGCAATGCTACCGTGCCATTATCTCTCAAATCCAGTTCTGGACTGGCTGTGTAGGTACTCCCAAACTGTTCCCGTGACCTGATAATTAAACGGATTCAAGAGGCCTCAAAATATCGCCGGACTACGTCGCTAGTGCGTCTGATTTGGCCGAGGAAGACATTCCAGAAGTCATCGAAGTCATTGTTACACTGGAACGGGGGACCTTAGTAAAATGTTATTGCATTATAATCACCATCACATTCTGTCGGTGCGATTTCCTTGTTCCCATGAAACAGACTTCTCATGATATTTTCACCGAACAGGGCTTGTTACCCTCATGATATGTCTTGTTATGATTATGACTGTAGGGTTCGGCTTCCAGCAGAGAAACGAGATAGTTGTTGTTCCTGTGGCGACCGTGTTTGCCTTTACCCAGCTACGTTCAACTATGCCTGGAGCCCCAGATGGATTCGGTACGCCGCTACTGAATGACTCAATTCTCAACACTGATATAATTCAGGTGACATCTTGGGTACGTCAAGTTCAATACAGGGTTGATTCGTAAAATGACTCCAGACGCAGATTTCGTAGGCGTACTACCTTGCCTCGTCCTCCTGTCCATTTCCGTAAGTACTTAAAGTTTTGAAACATTCAAGAAGTGACACAAAATCTCCAACTAGGCGGTTACTATGGTCGGGATCTATATTTTCACGGATCCCGCGAAGGATTGTCGTGAAAAGTTAACTTGGTCTGCCTTGGGTACGCTGGTTCTAGATGGCTTTTACACATTTCACGGCGCAAACATGTTCTTTTCACAGTGAATGCCGTTGTTCGCCCTAGAAAAACATCATCAGAAACGGTGGATGCGAAGAATAATACTGTCCCACTGGCAGAGTCCTACTCCATGCTCTCTTTGTCGAAAGATTAAAAGTGCCGTCGACATTCAAAGAGCGAACTCCAAGTCCACTTCATATCATTGTTCCATAGCATAACTTCATCAGTGAATGGCCGTCCATCAACACGAGAGTGTATATAGGGCCTGAGGCGTAACTAGTAATTACTCGTAACTCTCATTACATGTCATGCTTTTTTAATTAGAACTTCGCCTTTAGCTGCTAGCAATACCACCTTATTTTTTTATTACAGTGCTCCCGAGTGACGATACAAACTTCAATGTTAATATCCAAGCGCGTTAATCTTATTAGATATTCGAGCTCACATTGTGACTGATTTACGGCGCTGATCATTATGCTGTCTCATCGCTCCTCTTCTCAGTCGCTGCTCATGAACATTCTTTCACTTCGTTGCTTCTGCCTCGGCTTACAGATAGAACTGTTGCATAAAAAAGGACCTTGGTGTAGCCATGGAAGCACGTCGTATGGCAAGGATTGCACGTTTCGCATGCCGTTCAATATGCGACGCATGTCGTATCTTTGCACGCGCCTTACCACGCATACTATCTGGTTCTCTCCTCTGTTCCCTTTAAGCATTCGATTTCTGTGTGGTTTCTATCGGTCGGAGGTCGGGAACCGGCTTGAGAGCAGAGATAAGAGCGGGCACGTTATGGCCTGGGAAGCTACTGGGAAGCGTTGTTGAGTCTTACTGTCAATCGCCCTAGAGGCTGTGTAAACGAAAATGTCGGCCCGTAGCACTTTGTTCAGAATCAAAATAGCAGGAGTGCAACCGATTTTGCCAGTCTGAATTGACAGACCATGAGATATCATACAGTGGTATGTACATGAATGATGAGAACTTTCAAAAGTAATAGCAGAAATTTGCGGCCATAGAATGAGTAACATTTCGGCCGTTTACACTTCTGGGCGATTGATAGTATGGATATAAGGACTATCGCTATCATTCCGGTATGACATGAATTTGACGACCTTGCAGCTCTTACGAGCCGATTGAGGTCAGCCTAACGTGAATCTGGGCGTGTGACGCCAATTAAAGTAACAAGACTTTATGCGCCTGTGGTCATCTTAAGGTCAGATGCTCTGACGTCCTTTTGTTGAATCTTCCATTGACTCACCCCTCCAGTGTTGCTCTAAACTCCACAAACAAATCTAATTATCAGGGATATCAAAGATCACTAGACAAAGGTATATTGTACAAATTCTCATGTGGAATGATGAAGAATCGAACAAAGTGGTACGGGCCGATATTTTCGTTTACACTTCTAGGGCGATCGATAGTAAGACTCAACAACACTTTCCAAGCCAAAAGGTACCCAATCTTATCTTTGCTCCCAGGCCTCTGACCAATAGAAACGATATAGAAAATCGAATACAAAAAGGGGACAGAGGAGAGAACCAGACAATACGCGTGGTAAGGAGCGTACAAAGACACGGCATGCGTCGCATATTGAACGGCAAGCGAAACGTGCAATCCTCGACATACGACGTGCTTTCATGGATGCAGTAAATTGGATCCGGCATGCATGTCTAATCAAGACATATATTCAATAGTTCTCCCTAGCTACTTTGTAGGTACATAAACATAGGACGTCGAGGAAGACGGTAAGTATTAGATAGATATAAAGCTACAGTTGTGTTGACTACTACAGAGGCGGCGGTGAAGGAGAGACAGGGCTGCGGGATAAGAATACAGGTATGTTTGAAAGAGCGAGTATGCGGTGGATGTATATAGTACAACGACCAGCGCTAGAGAGGGAACGGTAAGTAACTTGAGGATGGTGAAGGGTGAGAAAACGTACCAGGATATCTATGACCTATGGAAGAAACCCCTGACGCTCATCTTTGACTTTTTCGGCGTGTGCGAGTGGGCGTGGGTAGATGGGATGGGCCGAGGAGCCGATACGGGAATGGGAGGGAGAGGTGCGGTCGGCGGCATGAACGACTGCTCGAGGAACTCCTTCCTGGCAAGGTTAAGCGGTGTAGGACGCTTCTTCTTGCCATCGGCAGTGAGGATGGGCTGGAGAGTCATTGGTGCGAGTTTGACTTTCTATAATGCGATAATCAGGATGCGTACGAATAAAGTAGATAATAGACGAACCTGAGCATCAAGAGACTCTGCCCGAAACTTGACCCACTGGGAGGGCGCCTCTTCGCCTTCGGAGTCAGAGGAGTCAGAGGCATCAGGGTCGTCCTTCTGGAGGAGCCATTGGTACTCTATCTGCTCCTCGCGGTCCCACCAAACGCGGCCGGTACCGTCGCGGTAGACATCGGCACGAGTACCAACGGGAAGGTTGCCCTGCTGCTTGGTCTGGGCGTCCATGACACGGGTGATGTGGGTGCTCATCTTCCCACCACTGGTGAACTGCATGAGCATGAGCTCGTTCATGAGCGTCGGGGGCAGCTGCTGCGCGTGCTTCTTCGACTTTGCGGGGACAGACATGGATCTAGAGCGTGCGCGAGAACGAGAGAGGAGCGAGAAGGGGTTTTTCTTCGCCTGGTGAGAGGATACATGGTCGAGTTCGTCTTTATGGGAGGAGGGGTAATTGTGATTATCGGGCTTATTGTCTTTCTTATTGTTACGGGTGTGATTAGGCCTATTGTTAAGATATGATGGCGTAGACGGCGTTTGGGGCAGGTGCACGAACACAGATGTGTAGCCGAGATTCGTCAAGTCGAATTTGGCGTAGTGGGCAGACGTCGGGGTATACACCGATTTGGACGTTGCGGGCGTGTCGGGGAATGTCCCCGCGTTGGCGCTCCGCGGCGAGACAGGCGCCGGTGAGCCTGGATGGACCGCCGACGCCCAGGTGGTAATGCTGGCGGCGAACGAGGAGACTGTCGAGGATCGTGGGCGGGACATGATGGTCGTGGGGTATGTAGAATAAGTATGGGTATGCTGGGTATGTCTAGGTCTGCTCGTCGTCGTCGTCAGTATCGTCGGCAAACCCCAAAAGGTAGCTGCTCACCGTTAAGAGTATTGGAAGGAGACTGGCTCGCTGTGGTCGTCCTCGTCGTGCCCGGCCATGGTCTTATACTTTAGGCAAACAAAAACCCCGCGCACAATAGCAAGGCTGTAGACAAACAGCCAAACAACGCTCTTCAACACATGCCATTCTCGGATCGTCGCTACAACGCGCTTCTGGAAAACAAAGACAATAAAATCGCTGAACAATAGCTCCGCCGCGTTCCCCCCGCCTGCTCATTGTTTTATCGCACCTCCCTTCTTCCCGTCCTGACAGCTTTTTCCCGACGATCGCCTTTTCGCATACGGTTTATCGTGTTTCCTGGCGTATTAATTGTCGCCGTATTGATTGTTGTGCGACTGCGTTCTCATACCGTTGCACCTGCAGGACAGCTCTATTATCCTGGGCTGGCGTATGTCGCGTCGTGGCGAGTCCTCGTCGCGCTTCGGCGGCCCTTTGATTTCTTACGCTTTGACTCCGCACTTCCCCGCAATTGTTTCAGTTTGGTTCCGTGGGAGCAAATTTGGCGCTTTGCCAGGAAACCACTGGCAGTCAACGGGCATCATTATCCTTCGGTCTTCAAAATTTCTGATACTTGGCAAAGACTTAACCCAGCTGATTTTTTGCTTCACCCCTGGGGCCTAGCTCTTTGTATTTTACTTCCACGGATGTATACGCACCACAGGGAATTTCTGATGGTCGAAGGTTTAGAGAGCCCTCAAAGCATAAAAAAAGCATAACTTGCAACTGCTGGTTGGCAGCTCTCTAGGCGGAAGGTTCATAGAGAATTCTGGGATTTCCTTTCAGAGTCCGTCGAAGATAGATTTGCAACAGAGACACGATAAGCTGTTGTGCCCCATGGCTGAGTTGGTTACAGCGTCCGACTGTTATAACTTATAGTGATCTGCAGGTCAATCGGAAGGTCGAGAGTTCGAGCCTCTCTGGGGCAGTCCGTCCAAAGTGTGTAAGATTTTATTTTGTTTATTATCCACCCGCCCATAATTTAGAATTTCTGGGGAATGGAATCTGGGCCTTGGGCCTTGGCAGATTCTAATTTCTGGCTCCTACGGCATATGCTCCTAGCTTAATTTTTGAATGCTCTGATTCAATGAAGTTGAATTAACAACACAATTTGCCTCGTACTTATGTGTAGCCGTTGGTCGTTTTAAATACGCTAAGGAATCATTATCGTCGCGGTCTTGTTTAGAGTCCTTCTGCTTGCGCCCAATGCTGATCGCTGCGGCAAAACAGATTTATTCCCAAGTACCTAGGCCTTATCTGAGAGCTGTACTTCCTGTTGGAGAGCTGATGTATCGCCCCGAGTTTAAGATTGTTCATTCACTCGGATGTCTTGTAGATAAATCCATGTGTTAATTCATTTTTGGATTGCTGCTCACTAACACGAGGGACTCATACTTGTTGAATTTCGCGACACAACTGTCCGTGAGTGTTACTTGTAGTAGAAGCCAACGTCCATATAGAAAGACAGCGATGAACGATAGCCAGTTTTTTCTCAATCCACCATCGGGTTGAGGGGGGACCAGACCGAGAAAAACAACCCTATTGAATACATCCAGTGTCAATGAACGACTCGGCCGAAACCATACAAGTGAGTCTTCGTTGCAATACCAGTCGTAGCGCGGTAGAGACAGTACTGACCGAGTAAAAGTAATTCAGCACCGAAGGGTCATATACAGCAGGTTAAATGCATACAGATCATCGTCGAAGACTTTAAAAAATTCGATAGTATCAAAAGTTAGAATTTGCGGAATCGTAAAGGAACCCCGAACCGTGGGAAATTTAATACCGGAAGCTCTTGACCCTAACCTTAGGCTTTTACCGAGTCCTTCGCGTTTCAGTGACAGACAACTTGCTTTGTTCCAGCATGACAACGACATACTACTGCAAAAAAGGCTCTCCACCATCACGATTCTTGATCATCGTCCTTGCAATTGTCTCTCGTTAAACGACGAGTTCCAGCATGCGGAAGAGACTCGGACAAGTGTGACCAGACCCGTGACTAATGCATATCATTATATGCGATTCAAAGTGGACCAATATATCTCAACAGGCTTGGAAATAGTGTTTCCGACATGCCATTTTGAGCTCCGAGTCAAGAATACGATATGAACGAGGCACCGATTCGCTACTAGCTTCGTTGCACCCCAGCTGCGTCGGGAGCGGCTCGACACAGGCTGGGTTTTGGAGAGGAAGATTTCCATGGATGGACTTGCTCGTACTTTGAACACTCAAATGTGGGAAGAGTAAAGTTTGGCTAGGTCCGTGGTTTCTTCGTCGCCATTCTGTGGCTCATCATGCGATTTTAGCGTTTGACATGGCATCTCTATACTGAGGTGACGCAGGTTGGCTTCGTCAAGGAATCGAGCACGTCGATAGAGGTGCGTACGCTATGTCGGGTGTTCGAATCCTTCCTCAATCATTGCAGGTGTTCTTTGTACCAGTGCCCAGCCTGCACTGCAGAGGCTGGTGAAAATTTGATAGCCTAAAACGGGACCTATTTCAGCTTCCGATTTTACGTCCATGTTTTGCGTGTTGTAAAACGGGAAGGCACCGTAAGTCCATTGTTCTATAGGGGGAAAGGTTTTCCATACCGTTTTATTGATGGTCTTTTCAGGACCGAAAAAGGCTTCGCTAAATCAAAACCTTTGAGGGCTTCGTTTTTTTTTACCAGCTGAAATGCACTGGCTTCTGCTTTTCGGCACTCACGCTTATCCACGTAAACATCGAGCGATATGTTCTCGCGTACCTATCGTCCCAGTATCGACGGACACGAAGACATCAGTGATACTGATTTACCCTGGCCTAAACATCGCAGTCCGTTACCCCAGGGGCAACAGCGCACAAGACCTCCACCGATTGCCTAAAATGCCCATCGATCCACTTAAACGATGGCCATCCACTTCAAATATCGATTTGCGAGTTACTGTCTGGCAAATGCTACGAAAGAGTGGATCGTTTTCGCTGCGTGAAGATTTGGCCGAAGTCATGAAGTAATCGTTAGAGCCTCTATCAATAATTGTCTTTCTAACGAGCATACTACAGGTCTTCTTTGTCTGGAACCGAGCTCACTCACTCCAAAAATATCGATTCGAGCTCGTTCTTTCCAGGCTGCTACCGCTCCGTTGATGTTTCATTGATTCCTTTCTCCCATGAGCATGCACTGGGGTCGGCTCGGAATTCCTGGGGAGTGGACCTCCAAGGATTTGATGTGTATCTAGGTTGAAATTACTCACCTGAATGCGGTCGGAAAGACCGGTAGAACTTTAATATGTCTTTGGCTGCGTGATTTGGCGGCATAAAGACCCTTGCAAAGACGGTATGTATTTCTTTCTGGCTTTGTCTTCATGTTTACGTTCATCTTTGCACTGTAAACACCTATGGAAATACCCAGCCATATTCGTTGGTGAGGTCGCGTATTTTCATAGGTAAATTTAGTGTAAATTTGCATGTAAACATAAGTACAAAGGGAGAAAAGAAGACATGCGGTGTTATGAGAGGGATCTTGATGCCAGATACCTTAGTCAAATGCGGTGAAAGTCCTAGCAGTCTTTGTGATGGTATGGTACGCAAATTTTATGCGCGCCGGAAGACATCAGGGTATTTGTCCCCTTGAATTGATCTGTCAGCGATAGAAATGGTGGCCACAACCAGGATTGTCGAAAGATACCGACGGATCGGTTATTCCCTTTAGTTCTAGCTCATGCGATTACCGCTATCACCCTAGACGGACCATCCTGCGACATCCCATACACCCCGGCGATGCCAAGAGGCGCTGTCCATAAATGGTGCCGTCCCCTTACCTCGAGGCCGTACATCGTGCAAATTCGGCGTCTTTCAATATGAATGCACTGGAATCAAAGCGCTCCCTCTTCATGACAGTGACATTCTTAGACAGGATGTCGATGATGTGCAGGTTATAGCATTCAAGTAAAATCTCTCCTTTTCTTTACCCTGGATGTCACTTTCTGACCCTTTTTGTTCATATAGTAAGATCACGATGTTCCGAGGCGCCTATTCGAAGCTTGACAAGGTTTGGTTACAGCACAGACGGCACTTCGGCTCCATTGAATCGAGGATAAAGCTGTTGTTTCTCCCACGCATGCTGTCAACTCGTCTTTACCTGCGACCATCATGTCCAACGGTGGTGTTCGCGGCGCAAAGCTCAGTAAACTCTTCAGTACCATCCTGCAAGGCAAGGAGTTAACCAATGCAACACAAGGCTCTCAGTTTCTGGAGGCTCTGTGCCTTGAACCAGATCCGCCTGGTTGCATCGACAGGATCATTGCGAGCAAGGGTGGTCTCCGATCTTTACAGGCCGCTTTTAGGCTTGATCTTTCTCAAACCTTCTTAAATGGTCTTGCTACAGACACTCTGCTGTACTTGCAAGCGCCCGAGATCAAGACGATTAGCAGTGGTCAGTACCTCACAAAGACGTTGCAGGCGATCGTCGAGCCTCCAATCTTCTGGACTGTGTTCGTGGAAGCATTCAAAGCGAAGCAGCTATCCGAGAAGGGGCAGCAGTGCTTTGCATGGGTTTTATTACATCTTATTCTCATCCCAAGCGACACCGTCTCGCCTTACGTATCCCTCGCCGACGATCTACTACCTATCATCCTCAGGTCCTCCCATCCAGACATACGCACCATCGCACAAAAAATCAAAAACACCATTTCCGTTGCGTCCACCTCTCCCATCGCCCTTGCTAAGGATGATATTGGTCCTGGCGGCAGACATGATAACGATTTCCCAGACTTTCGCGAGATCGCAATCCTTCCTACTACAGACGAGCTCGCTTCTACTGAGGCACCCTTCCTTCGTCCGAGCTCAGATCTCGACAATCCTAGTACGGAGGAACATCGCGAAGCTTTGCATCTCGACAACCAGTTCAGGCTGATGAGGGAAGACATGATTTACGAGATGCGGGAGGAACTTCAGATCTCGTTGGGGAAGCAGAAAGGAAAGAAACGTCGTGGTATCGTTGTGGACGATATAAAAATGCTAGATATCAATTTGGGCGACGAAGATCGGCGGAACAAGTGGGCGGTCGTCTTCCAGTGCTTGACCGATCTTCCGCAGCTTCAAAAGATCAAGGATCCGGCAAAGCGAAAGGCATCGCTTCGGAAGGACAATATCAAGCTGTTGAAGAATCAATCGTTGGCTTGTCTTCTCATTGACGGGACGGTGTTGGCATTTCCGTCGGTACGTCGAGACGAAGATCTGCTGGCGAAGAATCCTCCAGAGATTGTTCTAGAGTTCGAGGGAGAGACGTCGACCCAGAATTTCTTGCTGAAGATGAAGTCGGCGAAGAAGGTCAAACTCATTCAGATAGACGTCGCCCTCTTCTCCTACGAGCCGATCTTGACTGCTCTGAAGCGGATGAAGGTACTTCCTCTCGCGCAGGAGCTGCTGTTCTGGAAAGACGGGAGCGAGTTGTCTCGACCATTCCAACCCTTTGCTCTACAATCAGCTATACAGTCATTCGAGCGTAACCCCGGCCAAGATCTTCAAGCTGTATTGTCTTTGGGCAAAAGCATCATACTGGATAGAGCCCAAGCAATGTCGTTGTTATCGGGTTTGAAACAGAATGTATCGCTCATCCAGGGTCCTCCAGGTATGTAGTTATCCTTCGCGAAGCAATACAGGCCTAATAACAAGAACCCAGGTACGGGCAAGTCGTTTATAGGTGCCCTCTTGGCCAAATTCATCCTTGATTTCTCGGACTCGAAGATCCTTGTGGTCTGCTATACCAACCATGCCCTAGATCAATTCTTAGAAGATCTTCTCGATATCGGCATTCCTATCGAAGATATGGTTCGCTTAGGTGCCAAGTCCACTCCTCGAACGGAACCCATGGCTCTTAACAAGCAGCCACGCACCCATCGTTTTCGCCGCGCTGACTATACCACCATAAACGACCTCAAAGCTGATA